CCCATTGTCATGCTAAAAAGCCCAGCCCTGGGGGATCTGAGCTGCCAGTTCCTGTTGGGGAGGGGGATGAAAAGCTGACAGACAACCTGCTTGTGGTTGAGTGGGGGGGGCACCCGGGGGGTAGAATTTTTGCTCTTGACAGATGTCAGGGGCTTGGTCATGCTCTGGTGATCAAAGGAGAGGCTGTTGGGAATGCCCTGCCATTGTCAGGGCAGCTGGCTGGAGACAAAGCAGCTTATCCTGCTGCAAGTCCAGCCAGGAAAACCTCCCCTTCCCTTCGTGTTGGCAGGGCTGGGAGTTGTGGGGGGGGGGGTGTGCGTGTGACCCTCACTCTTTGTGTTCGTGTCCCCCCCCCCCCCCCACAGCTCCCCTCACTCAGGAGGACTCCAAGTCCTCCCGGGACGTGTCTGAGGAGCTGAGCCGGCAGCTGGAGGACATCCTGAGCACCTACTGTGTGGATGCCAGCCAGGAGGGCCCGGGGGAGCCCCCTGAGCCCGAGGAGCCCGACAAGGGCCGGCCCGAGTCCCCCCGCAACGGGGAGCAGGAGCCGGGAGGCCCCGAGATGAACGGCGAGAAGGAGAACTCCAAGGGCACCGAGGAGGGCGGGGACAGGGACCAGAAGAAGGCTCAGGAGAAGAAGAAAGCCAAGGGTTTAGGTAAGAGGTTCCCTGCAGGCCTTGGGTTTGTCCTGCACCGATCAAATCCGTGCCCTCGGATGTGTTTGGGAATGGCACAGCGTCCTGTTCTGGGGTGGGGGGGGAGTGAGGGATGTACCCTGGGGCTGCCACAGCCTCTGAATTCCATGGATTTCTCTTCTCCTGGACACAACTGGCTCCAGCCAGCCCAGTGGTGATTCCTGCTCTGAAAACCAGGTCTCTCTCCCAGCTGCTCCACTCTTTTTCCCACTGTATGGGTTGAAATCTGTGGGGCAGAGCCCTGAGAAGACCCCAGGACCAGCAGCTCCGGCCCAGGGCTGTGAGACCTGCTCAGTCCCCTCCTCTCTTCACCCTCACGAACCAGAGCTCTGTGCACGCCATTTTATGCAGTTTATTTATCCATTTCCATTCCCTGTCTCCTGCCAGGCAAGGAAATCACTTTGCTGATGCAGACACTGAACACCCTGAGCACGTCAGAGGAGAAGCTGGCAGCGCTGTGCAAGAAATACGCTGAGCTGGTGAGTCACTCTGGGGCCGAGGGGGGGAACACAGCAGCTCAGGGAGGCAGGAGGGACATTCCAGGAAGACCCTGGAGCTTTGCAGTTCCCTGGGATCTCTGCAGTGCTGGGTATCTGGATAGGAGTGGGGGGGTGTTGGCTCCCCGTGTCCCTCAGTGGGCACAACACTGCCCTGCCCTGCCCTATCCATGCCCTCTGCTCCCCTCTCCCAGCTGGAAGAGCACCGTAACTCGCAGAAGCAGATGAAGATCCTGCAGAAGAAGCAGACACAGCTGGTGCAGGAGAAGGATCACCTGCAGAGCGAGCACAGCAAGGCCATCCTGGCCCGGAGCAAACTGGAGAGCCTGTGCCGGGAGCTCCAGAGGCACAACCGCACCCTCAAGGCAGGTTTCTCCCGGCTCTGCTCCCGGGGCTGCTCCATCCCAACCCCTTGGATCAGGTGACATGCCTGTGGTTGCTCCCAACCTGCCCTCAGGGCAGTGTTTTAACTCTGGGGTTCAGCCCTCCTTGCCCGCGCTGTCCTGGTGCTATTTCGGGGCGCAGCCTCTGGAGAGAGGGAAGGGAAAGGCCCGGAGTCCTTTCCTGATGGATATAAGGAGCAGTGGGAGGCTGGGGGGGCTCGGGGCACCCCTTTGGTGACGTGTCCCTCCCGTCCCTGCCCTCCCCACGCAGGAGGAGGGCGTGCAGCGCGCGCGGGAGGAGGAGGAGAAGAGGAAGGAGGTGACATCCCACTTCCAGGTGACGCTGAACGACATCCAGCTGCAGATGGAGCAGCACAACGAGAGGAACTCCAAGCTGCGCCAGGAGAACATGGAGCTGGCAGAGAGGCTCAAGAAGCTCATCGAGCAGTACGAGCTGCGGGAGGAGGTGGGTCAGGAGAGGGGTATCCCCCCCCCTGCCCAGGGGAGAGAATTCCCTGCTTCCAGAGGGGAATTAAACCCAGCAGATCCTCCCTCATCACATTCCTGTAACCACAGCTCTCAAGCCGGCGTTGTAGCGCCACAAAACATCGAGGCTGTGTTGGGCAGAGTGAAAGGGAAGCGAGCACTGCTTGTGTCAGTGTGGCAAAATGGAACACAGGTTTTCAAAGGCAACACTCGAACCAGAAAGATTCAGCAGGGGGAAAAGTGCACCACACACTCGCTGCTTTAGCAGAGGGAAATATCCAGTATAGCCAAAATATCCAATATATTTAAATGTGTCTGTGTCCTGTGTATCTAAATGCACCTGCAAGCACCCAGCTCTGTGCGTTTCATTCCAGTAAAAGTTACATGGTGTTTTTTTAGGTTGGTTATTTACGCCTCTGAGATTTACCTCGGTTCATTTAATGCAAACTGGACATCTTTACTTTGTGCAGGCTGTTGAGGTTCATTCATGCCCTTAACGTGCATTAATTAGACACTGCTTATAAATAACCAGCAGTAAGAATATCTGTTTGTCTGGGGGTCTTCTGAGCCTGTGGTGTTCTCTTGGCAGCACATTGACAAGGTGTTCAAGCACAAGGAGCTGCAGCAGCAGCTGGTGGATGCCAAACTCCAGCAGGCCCAGGAGATGCTGAAGGAGGCAGAGGAGAGGCACCAGCGGGAGAAGGACTTTGTAAGTCGTGGAGCAGTTCTGGGGTGGTTGTGACCCTTGTTACTGCTGGAGCCCTGAGGGCAGAGCCCAGAGCAGGTCATCCCGCATCTTGCCTTGCTTCCTGAGCAGCTGCAGGAGCTGGGCTGGAGTCCTGCTCTGCTCCTGGTGCTTCTCCCAGCCTGCTCCCATCTCCAGGCCCAGCACCAGCCGTGCAGGGATGTGCTCAGGGCATTCCCAGGTAACTGCTTTTGCTCTTCCCCAGCTGCTGAAGGAAGCTGTGGAATCCCAGAGGATGTGTGAGCTGATGAAGCAGCAGGAGACCCACCTCAAGCAGCAGGTGAGTTCCCTGCTCTGTGTGCTCAGCCTGTTTTGTTTGGGTTTCTTCTCGTCCTTCCTAAGCGAGGAACGACCCAAAGTTCCTTCATCTGGAAAACACAGGGGCAGGATCTCTCCTGGCCTTGCTATGGGTGAGCTGAGACTTCCTTCAGCAATTCTCCCTTCTAGGAGAAAGGTGCCTTGTGGTTTTTTCCCAGTGCTGGGAGCAGTCACGGGATCATCCCTCACTGAACCAGCCCCAGCACGTGCCTCCTGCCCTGGCCAGGGGATGTTTATAGGACACATCACTCTGAGGGTGTTTCCCTAGGACAGAATTCTCCCTTGGCAGAGCAGCTCTGTTTGCTGCCACTTTGTTTGTGTCCCAGCACAAGCAGCTCAGTCCCTGCTTGGCCTCATCCCTGCCCGGGTGCGGCTGTCAGTGGGTGCCCTGGTGAGCTCCCTGTCTCTCCCCACAGCTGGCTCTCTACACAGAGAAGTTTGAGGAATTCCAGAACACCCTCTCCAAAAGCAGTGAAGTGTTCACAACGTTTAAACAGGAGATGGAGAAGGTGGGTGACACTTCTGCTGTCCTGGCTCTCCTCAGTGTGAGCTGCAAGAGCCACAGCTCCGTCGTTCTGTTTAATTTGGGGTCTGTGCCAGGGGAGGGGGTGGCACCTTGAGGACATGTGGGATGTCACTGCAGTGCTCTGCCTGGGGCTTGTTTGTCTTGGGGTGTC